AAATTGACCTGTAGATCTTTTAGCTTGATTGGAGTTTCACTTTTGTTGATATAAAACCATATTTGTTGAGCTTTTGAGCATTGTTGGAAATAGTGATGGAAAGTTTCTTTTTGTTCACCACATAAACAGCATTCTTCGTTGTTAGCATTTGGAAGATCTTCTTGGGTATTTGTCTCATTTGTTCTTTCAAACATGTGTTCAAAGTGACCTAGATTGAACCTTTGATAAAATTCTAACAATCCTGGAGCTTGGGTTTGGAATTTGTAGAGTTTGTACCAGAAAGTTTTCCATTGAATCTTTGGAATTGTTTGCTTGGTGAAAGGAACTTCTTGTTGAGGGTTTTCATTTTCAACCCAAATTTCTCTTTGAATTGGTACCCCTTTTTCTTCATGATACTTCCTATTGAAATGGAGAAATGATTCTAATTGTACTTTTTCATCCTTGATATCTCTAACATTTAAGTGTAAAGCTCTTGATGAAGGTTGAACATTTTGAATATATTTGTGGTTGATTTCGGCCTTTGTTAAACGGAAAAATTCCATTTCAAAACCTCTTTCTTCATCCGAACCAATAGTGTGAGTTACCTTAAACCAACTTTGTAGCCATTGTAATTGAGTCTTGGAGATGTATGATTCAATATTTAAACTTCTTTTGACTTTTTGAATCATTGGATAATTACTTAATTTAAATTTGGTGTGAATAATTTTCAAAATTTCTAAGGTTGAAGTGCCCTCATCAATTTCCACCCCCTGAAGCTCTAGCAACTGTTGTTTACAAATTGAATTGTTGTTTAGATTCTTAAAGAATCTTGCAAAACTACCATCTAATAACTTAAACCATGGAAAACCTTTACGATAAGATTCATCTGTTTCAAAATCAAGAGCTTGGTAAGCATTAACAACATCTCTGGCAGAGTACGAACCTGATTCATCAATGACTCCATTTCTTAATAAGAATCTTTCTTGTGGATCTAGTTTCAAAACTTGAGTCAAAACATTTGCAAAATGTTGTAATTTCATTCTTAAGGAAGAGTAACTAACAAAATCTTTATCAGTCATCACGTTATAAATCATTTTTGCTCTATGTCCATGAAGTTGTTTTCTTAAATTCATTAATCCAAAACCACCTAGTTTCTTTGGAGTCATTGCTGTTTCCATCGAAATACCATGTAATTGTTTCTTAATGAGAGAATCAATTCTATTCAACATTGAGTGTTTAATGGGGTCATGATGGTCCCTGAAAAAGACAATTGATAAAACATAGATTGACAGACATAAACATCTTATTGATGCTGGTAAGTCTTGGATCAATGGAAAGTTGATTAATTTTGTGATTCTTTTCTCCAGGTCAGACCAAGGTGTTTGGTGTATATGAATACCTAATAATTTGGGGTTGTCCAGACTCATAAAAGCCGATGGAATATCTAATCTTGAGTATTCAGCTAAAAGTGATTGTTGGTCTAGATGGAGGTGATTTTTGAGCAACCATAATTTGGATTTATCTTTGTTAAGAGATAGTTGGGTAACTTTAGAAAATTCATCAAATAATTTTAGAACTTCTATACCATCACTTAGGTTTTTTAGAAACACTGCTAGATCATCAGCAAACGCTAGACATTTGAAAATTTGGGTTGAGAATTCACCGTTAATTGAGATACCACTTATATGATTTCTGATTTTTTCTAAAAAAATTTCAATCACTAACACAAAAAGTGATGGACTAATAGGGTTACCTTGACGAGTTCCTCTTGATAGCTTAATGGTCTTTGAATATTGATTTTCCATTGTTATTGACCCCATTTGGTGATTTGTAATGCTTTTGATGGCATTTATCATGAAATCTGGAATATGAATTTTTTTAAGAAGTCTTTCCATGAATAGCTGATCAACAGAGTCGAACGCTTTGGAGAGATCCAGGGAAAGTAATGCTGGATTATGGTCAAGTAAAACATTGGTATTGGTTGTTGATCTGGGATTAACCTCCTTCTTTGAAATAGATCCTAGATAAGAATATTCTTGGATAATATCTTCCATTCTTCGTTTGGGCATAAATCCAACTTGATTTCTGTTAATTATTGGATCAATGGCTTGCAATAGTCTGGTATTGAAAGCTGAGCTAATTATCTTCAAAGATGTTTGAATTAGTGAAATTGGCCTGAGATCTTTTGGGTCTAGGACTGAATCGTCATTTTTAGGTAACACTTTGATTAGAACTGTTTTGAATTGAGTTGGTAAGTCACCTAATTTCCCCATTTCGTTTGCAACATCTACTAACACTGGACCAAGTGGTTCCCAGAATATGTCCCAAAAGTTGTAAGAAAGTCCATCAAGACCAGCACTGGAACCTTGTTTTGATAATTTTTTTAACTCTTCACTTAATTCTTCCAAGGTAATAGGATCAGATAAACGTATTTGGGATTCATGGTTGATGGATTTTTCAAAAAAGGTGAGGTAATCATCAATTTGTTGCTGAGAAGCTTTGGTGGATGTATTTGTGAAGACATTTTGGAAAAAGTCAGCAGCAATATTCAACTTAGAATCCACCGAATGATGAGGATCTCCATTCTGGTCTTTAAATTGTTCAATCGTTGATTGATTGTTATGAAAATGGAAGATTTTATTAAGATCCTGGTAGTTTTGGTAAGGTATCGACTGGCTATTTGTTTGCTGTTGTTTAATTTTAAGTTGATTGAGCTCTTTACCATCAGGGTTTGATAACTCGTAATCAAAAAATCAAAATCAAAATATTCGCGAGTATTACATAATACATTACATAATACTCAATGAGTGTGTCCCCTACCACCCAACTATTTTGGCAGCAATTACCCATTATTATTATTACCTGTATACTATTAGCTATGCTATATACGTGCTATCCAATCAAATGATCAGTATTGACATATAGACAATAATGGATATTGATTACGTTAATGAAGATCGTATGTATATATTACCTTGGTATTATGATACTCTTGGATTATTTGAGCCAAATACTAACCATCTCAATCCCTAGATATAAAAGCCTTCCATGAAGCTTTGATATATGATGATAACTCTCATGATACAACAACTCCATCAACTGCAAATTCCATAAAAAGAGATATAGATTCAACAAATGAAATTATTGGTTCAAATGAATTATCAAATCAAATACATCAAACAAATCATGTGGAAAAAATTACTTCAAAGAATGATTGGGGTCCAATATATAAAAAAATTAACAAAAAACATCAAAAAAATCATAAGAAAGATGATTTTTTCCAAAGTTATTCTTATAGGACTTTAAGATATCCAATATTAGCATTCATCTTAATTTGGTGTTCTTTCCTTACAGTGGTTTATTTCTTTGTAAGGTTATACATTGCCCTATATGAATATATAATCACATGGAGAGGTAAAAGACGTGGGTTACGAAACACACTAAGAAATTCCAAAACATATAAAGAATGGATATCAAATGCTATAAAATTAGATAAGTTTTTAAAATTAGATTATTGGAAATCTCAATCAAATTTTTATTATTATGATTATAAAACTTTAAAAATTTCAATAAAAAAATTGAAAACTTTACGTGAGAATCCACAGGCAAAGGAAGAATTATTATTATTTTTACAAAATTGTATCAAGGCAAATTTTGCAGGTACAGAAAATCCAATATTATATTCACAAACTTATTATGGTACCAAAAACATTGTGGAAGAATATAATAATGAAATTGTTAAATCATTAACATATATAATTGAAGATGATGATTCAGATTCAATATCACCAATAATCAAAAAGCAATTTTTCAAATCAATAAGTAAAAATTTAGGTAAAACTGCTCTTTGTCTTTCAGGTGGTGCATGTTTTGCATATAATCATTTTGGTGTTATAAAAGCTTTATTAGAAGAAGATTTATTACCAACTATAGTTAGTGGAACTTCAGGAGGTGGATTAGTTGCTGCATTAGCTGCAACAAGAACAAATGAAGAATTAAAAACCCTATTAAAACCTGAATTAGCCCAAAAGATAACTGCATGTAATGAACCTTTCCATACTTATGTTAAAAGATGGTGGAAAACAGGTGCAAGATTTGATTCAATTGATTGGGCAAGAAAATGTAATTGGTTTACAATGGGATCATTAACTTTTAAAGAAGCTTATGAAAGAACTGGTAAAATTTTAAATATTTCAACTGTACCTGCTGATCCTCATTCTCCAGTGATTTTATGTAATCATATAACATCACCAAATTGTATTATATGGTCTGCCCTGTTAGCTTCTTCCGCTGTACCTGGAATTTTAAATCCTGTGGTATTAATGATGAAAGATCCTAAAACCGGTCAAGTTGTTCCTTTTAGTTTTGGAACAAAATATAAAGATGGTTCATTAAGAACTGATATACCAGTTGAAGCATTAAATACTTATTTTAATGTTAAATTTTCCATAGTTAGTCAAGTTAATCCTCATATTTCATTATTTTTCTTTGCACCTAAAGGTTCAGTGGGGAGACCTGTATCAAGAAGGAAAATTGGTCTTAGAGGTGGATTTATTGGTGCAGGAATTGAAAATTTTATTAAATTAGAAAATAAAAAATGGTTAAAATTAATTAAATCTTTAGATTTATTACCTCATTTATTGGATCAAGATTGGTCAAATGTTTGGTTACAAAAATTTAGTGGGACTGTAACGATTTGGCCTAAGATTAAATTAAAAGATTTTTATTATATATTGAGTGATCCAAGTGAAGAAAGATTAGGTGAGATGATTAGAAATGGAGAATTATCAAGTTATCCAAAATTACATTTTATTAAACATCGATTAAATATTGAAAGAACAATTGAAAGAGGTTTGAAAAAATTTAAATTAAAAGTTAAAGAATTAGAAAAATTGGAACATAAAGAATCTACAACTACTAATAATTTGAATGAATTAATTTCAAGTGAATCTGATGAAGAAGGTTTTTCAAATGGACTAAATCAAAATCTTGAAAATACTTTAAGATATCAAGTTAGATTTGATAAAGATGATGATGAAGATGATGAAGATTCTTATAATGAAGATGAAGATCCAGATTATATAGATGAAGAAAGTGATTATGAAAATTCTTCAAATTTTGAAAATGAATTTAAAACAAGATCAAATTCTCAAGAAAGTGAAGAATCGGAAGGGGGTTTAAGAAATAGAAGAACTAGTGCATGGTGGTGATATTGAGAAAAGAAGTATAGAAGAACAAGTGATGGATAGGCATGTTGCTATATAGAGAATAAATGAGTTATGAATTACGTGATTTAAATTGTAGTACCGAGTAAACTTGTGGACTTCGGATATAGTAGATTTCGAAAATGGAAAATTACACCATGTGTACTTGAACTTCAACAACATCAACTTCAACTTCAACAACTGATTAATCAACTCCATCAGCTTCAATATGACACAATTCAATTCAATCAATGCAATCATCCTAGACATCGAGGGAACAGTAGCACCAATTTCATTCGTTAAAGAAACATTATTCCCATATTTCCTTAAAGAAATACCATCAATACTTTCGAAACTTCAATATCCAATTTCATCAGAAACTTCAAATGTTATTGAACAAATAGTTTCAAATTTCCCTAAAGATATAACTAATTCAAATGAATCATTATTAAATCATATCAAAAGTTTAGTTAATAAAGATATTAAAGATTCAACTTTAAAATCTTTACAAGGGTTTATATGGGAAAAAGGTTATGAAAATGGAGACATAAAAGCTCCAGTTTATGATGATGCTATAAAATCTATCAAGAATTGGAGTGAATCTAAAAAAGTTTATATTTATTCAAGTGGGAGTGTAAAAGCACAAAAATTATTATTTAAATATGTTGAATTTCAAAATGGAGTTATTGATTTGAATGAATATCTAAGTGATTATTTTGATATTACAACTTCTGGGTATAAGTTTGAGAAAAGTAGTTATGAAAATATAATTCAAGATATTAAACAATCAAGTGGAAATGTTTTATTCTTGAGTGATAACGTTTCAGAAGTTTCTGCTGCTAAAGAAGCTGGATTAAAATCTTTGATTGTTTTCAGAAATGGGAATGGTGAAGTTAGTAAAGAAGATCAAGATAAATATGGATTAATTAAATCATTTGATGAGTTAAGTGTCTGATTCATCTAGCTATAGATCTCTACATTGTGTTTTCTTTTGCAAAATTTAATACACATCATAAAAAATAATTGTTATACACGTGAAAATAGCTTGTAAATATTTGTAACACATCATAAAAAAAATCACATACTTAAAAGGAGCAATATAATCTAATCTTTTTTATATAACATGATTATTGATCAGCATGATCATTGAATAAAATATTAGCAGCTAATTCTTCATTTTTATCACAAGCAAAATAAACTTGAATAGCTAAATTTGATTCAAATCCTAATTCAACTAATCTATTTATAGCAGCTTGATCTTCTTCAGTGATTGGAACTTCAACTGTTCCATCTTCACCAGCTTGTGGGGCAACTTCAGTGCCTAAACCTTCACCAGAAAGTTCGTCTTCATTAACTCCATTTAAAATCATATTAATAAATTCTTCTGGATTTTGTTGAATTAATCCATTTAATTGAGGATATTGTTGTGATAATTGTTCTAATAATGGTTCCAACATTTCTGGATTTGTACGAACAATTTCTCTAATTTGATCTAATCCTCCACCACTTGGTGCACCTCCAGTTCTATGTGAAGCACCTGGGGAAGAACCTGAACCTGGATTACCACCTGCAGCAGCAGCGGCAGCAGCGAATAAATCACCACTTTCAGCAGTTGAATGTTCTTCAGTTCCAGAAGGAGCTGATGGTTGAGTAGCAGTAGCACCTGTATTTGATCCTTCTGTTTGTTCACCAGATTCTTCTACAGCAGTTGGTGGTTGTGGTTGTGATTGTTGAGCTTGTTGTTGAAATTGTTCTGGAATACCAGTTAATAAATATTCAACAGCACGATCTGGATTGTTAAAAGCAGCTCTCAATGCTTGTTCAACTTGTGGTCTCTCATAACCCATTTCCATAATGTTTGCAATGGCTTTTTCTCTTGCTGAACCTGTGGCAAATGTTGATGCATCAAAATCACCAGCTTGTTCAGGTTGTTGAGATGGAGTTGGTTGAGCTGATTGAGATGATGGTGCTGGTGCTGGAACGGTTCTGGTAGATGGTTGAACTGGTGCTGATTGAGCAGTTGGTTGTGTAGGTTGAGCGGCTGGTGCTGGTGTTGGTGTTGAAGCAGCTGGTGTTGGTTTTTTAGCAGCAACTTTCTAATTAAAATAAAGGTTAGTAAATAAATGGATATGAAGCAAGAAATATCAATACTTACTGAAATCATGAAGATGACTTGATCATCAGCTTTGATCTTTGTACTTTCAATGGTTTTATCATCTTGTAAAACTTTACCTGTGATACATATAATGTTAGAATTCTAAATCTCAAATTCTTAGTGCTTGATCCACATACCTGAATAGACAAATTTCAATTGTTTGACTTCGACACCTTTTACTTGTGCAAGCTTTTCTTTTGCTTGTAAAACCTATTATTTTAATGATGTTAGTGATTATGATCTAGATATAAAGGGAGTTGCATCTCAAATAAGACATACTGTTTCTGTAGGTTCCAATTCAATTGGAATTTTTTCCTTTTTGAAATCTTTGAAGATGACTTGCATTTTGGGACCTCTTCTGTGCTTCTGAAATTGTATTGGAATGACTTGAAGTACTCAAAAAGTTGTCTTTCTACGTTTAAAAAGACGTGTTGACAATTTCAATGTTTTCGCTTTTCATGATTTTTTTCCCATCTCTAGTGGCAAATCCAAATCAACACTTTTCTGCATACACATCAGAGCGGAAAAGTAAGCTTTAGGTCAAAAAAAGCTAGTCAAATTGCTGAAATATAAAGGGAAAATACCATGAGCAGAAGACCTTTGAAATACAGATCTACTGATGCACCACCAGAAGGAGCTGAAGCTGAAGACCAGAGAGGGATCAGAGGTCCAAGTTCAGCCTTAACTGAGTTCTTGAGACAGCAAGGTATCAATGCAGAGGCAATTAGACAAAGACATCTCCGAAGACTAAGAGGTGAAGAGGGAGATGGCGAAGAAGAAGGCCAAGGAGATGGTGGAAATCAAGGAGAAAATGGTGGTGATAATGAAGATACAAATAACGATACACAAGAAGGTGGTGATGTTGCTGTGAGTGGTAATGGTGAACAAGATCAAGAAGATGAAGAGAAAGATGAAGAGGAACTTCAAATGAGAATAGCTGCTAGAAGGAAAAGAAGAGCTGCAGCAGGGAAAGATGATGACGAGTACACCGACTCTGATGAAGATGAACTTGGCTCTGATGAAGAAAGTGCAGAAGTACGAAGACGTCCAAGAAGAAGAGTTGTTGGTGAAGAGGAAACTTGCGCACAATGTTTCAACAAATTTATTGTTAACGTTTATACTAAATCTGCAGCTACTGGTGGTTATTTGTGTCCAGATTGTACGACAAAACAACTTGAGAATGAACGTGCCATGAAGAGAAATCAAATGCTTTCAAGAAAGAAAAGACAAAGATTAGCAGCTGCTTTATTAGATAGACAAGATTTGAAAATCCCAACTTTACAAGATCTTGCAATTAAAAAAGTTACAGAAAGAATCGAAGATGTTGAACAATTTGGAGATATTGGTTCATTAAATATGAAAAAAATTGCCAAAATCTTATGCAGAAATAGATCCCTTGATGATAATACTTTACAATTATTCTTAGATATCAAAAATGAAAAATTAGAATTTTGGGATTGTTCAAAATTAACTAAAAATTCATATGAGAAAATCACATCATACTGTCCAAATGTTAAAGACTTAAAATTGTTAATGTGTGGTAGACTTCATAATGATAACTTGAATTATTTCACTTCTAATTTACATCATTTAACCAAGATTGAACTTGATGGTCCATTCCTTATTAATAACGATACATGGAGAAACTTTTTTGAAAACGTTGGTGATAGATTAACTGGATTGAAAATATCTAATACCCATAGATTTGATGATGAAACTTTCAAGACATTTTTAGAGAAATGTGGTCCAAATCTAACAGAGTTGAAATTATCAAGGTTAGATGGTATTAAAGAAAAAGAATCTTATGATTTGATGCCTGTTTATCTGACCAAGCTGGAAAGCTTGGAAATCTCATATCCCCATGAAGAAGAACAAGTTAGTGATTCAGCCTTGATAAATTTGTTAAGTATAAATGGTGAAACATTACATACGTTAGTATTGGATGGTTCTTCGGGTCTTACTGACGAATTTTTAGTCAATGGTATTAAGCCATTTTGTGTTAATTTGCGTTCTTTATCATTATCATTTTTGGATCAAATCACAAGTGAAGGATTTGTTGCATTATTCAACGAATGGAATTCTAATTTAGGATTAAATGAAGTATATCTAAGAAAATGTTTCTCATTAGGAGATGAAGGTATAATCGAATTTCTCTTACATTCGGGTCAATCATTAGTTGAGTTATCAATCAATTCAGTCAAGGATTTAACTGTTGATACATTTCAAATTATGAAATGTCCAAATTTAACATATTTAGATACGGGATTCGTGAGAGCTGTTGATGATGTTGTTTTAGAATTAATTGGGAAAAATTGTCCACAATTGAAAGTTTTAGATTGTTATGGTAATAATAGATGTACATCAAAGGCTAAGATAAGAGAAGGTTTAAAAGTCATTGGAAGACAAAGTGATACAATATAGGCACACATGGATTAAAATTAAATTAATTAATGATAGATACGTCATATTTATGTAGTAATTGTTTCGTTTCGAAGAAGAGGATATCCAAATTGGTGAGTGTTAATGCACATACTTTACGCTTTGACACGTTCTATACTTATAGATTGACGACAAAGATCAACGCCCAGGATAAATATAGCCTTCAAATTGTGTTACAGATCTATATCAAATCTCATACACAATCAATTTTGATCCAATTCCTTGAATTATTCGTTTCAGACTTTAATATGTGTTAGAGATTGTTCAAAGTTGACTTTTGTGTCATCCCAATTAGGAAATCTTAGATCTGAGATTCTGTGACAATTTACTTCGGGCACTACACTTATAACCAAAACTTCATAGTGAAGTGTATGAAAAGTAAAGTTTCTGATACGTAGATTCAAATGAAGGTCAATCACATCTGAAAAAATATATAAAGAGATGGTATTTCCTTCATCCAGATCAGTTTTAATGTTTTAGTTCTGTAGAAATCATCAACTATTTCAATTATCACTCAATTAATCAAATCAAAAATGTACTCAGCTATTCAAACTATTTCTTCAAACGCTTCATCAAAAGATCAAAATGAAAACAAAGATTTTGGTGACAGAGTTGTCTTACCAAGAATTGATAACGCTGGTTGTGTCATTGCTTAAGCTCTCTCCATCTGATACATTAGCTTGGTAACTGGTTGCTGCTGTCAAAAATTTCTCAGGTTTTGACGCTTTAAGCTCAATGGACTTTTAAAAACATTTTTTTACTTTATTTTATGCCTTAAGTTAATATATATTATATCATTATGATTTTAACTAGCTTAGTTTAATAGCTGGTCTGTAAAATTTCTCATTGGTATACTCAGCTGAATTATACAGTAAAATTTATGTGTACTGATTTGTGTTATTGAGCGTTTTCTTGAGAGAGCTCATGTCGCCTCAGTTATTCACGCAATTTTGGAAATTAACTCTGTTTTCTGTTTATTCTAATATATATATAAAGGCGACATCTTCCCATAAACTTTTAGTTACTTTCAATATATCGTCTTTCTCTTCACAATAGTTTCAATATAACAAGACAATTACACAACATGAAGTTAATTACAAAAGTTCCAAGATTATCAAGTGCAATTGCACTAGCTCTTATGTCTTTCGCAGTGTTATCATCTGCTTTAGTGATTCCAGAAACCAACAATACAATGACTATCTCATCATTGAACGATGCTACTAATATTGATTACTCAAGTTACATTGTTAACGATGCGGAATACTCATTACTTGATGCTTCGGATTATCTTAACATCGACGTCAATGTCACTTTGAGAAACATGTTAGGTGATGAAGCTGATGATATTTATAGCGATGAGGAGTCATATGATGACTCTATCAATGCAGCAGCTGAACCTTATAAGCATTATAGAAGAGCTAAAAGAGTTCATAGTATTTTCCAAAAGAAGAAACCAAAAAATTACAACAAGTCACCAATCATCGATGCCATTGCAAAAGATAGTGGATTACCAAAGAAGAAAATCATCCAAAGAATTGATAAAAATTTGAAAGTGTACAGTGGTGAAGTTCCAGCAGTTAAATGTAAAGATACCAAAAGAGGTTATGGTGGTCTTTGTGTCAATACTCAAAATCGCGCAGTTTATAGAAATGAGGATAGAGCAAGCCATCATTGGATGAGAAGTTATTTCTTCCCAGCTCAAGTTTACACTGGTTATGTGATCTCTCACTGGTGGAGATGGATTAATTGTACTATCCCTTTAAATGGGGTTATTCTAGATATGGTTTATTGTCAGCTTTGGAAATGGGAAAATGAGGTTATTGATGTGTTATTTGGTGTTTTCGCTTCAATTGGTTATCAAGAAGTCACAGGAAAGCCATTTGCTCCAGTTGCAACTACTCTTTTAAGTGTTTATGGGAGAATTGGATACAAGATGACAGGTTACAAAGCTGTCTCATGGACTGGTGAAGTTGTTGACTTGAATAAAACACCAGCAAAGTATGACTTACAATATATTTATGCTGGTTATGGTGATCCAGAATGGGACTCAAGAAATGTTTCAATGGCTATTTATCCAGGAAATAAAGCTTCAGAGCTTGGCCTTAGTGTTGTTTCAAAACCATGGGATCCAGCTCCTCAAAGAGGGATTGGTGTTCCAAATCCTGTTGATGATTTATTCAAAAAACATTGGAAATATAGTTTAAAACTTGATACAGATCAAATCAGATTCAATCTTGATCAAAGAAGTCCAGAGGAAACACTCCATAAAGTCAGAACTTTTGTTCAATCACAGGTCAGAAATTATATGGCATTGGGTGGTGGTATGTTGACTAATAACCATATTATGTTTATTAATCCTGACGATGTCTTTGGTGATAATGTTACAGAACCTGAAGAAGATTTTTCTAAATACGACGATGATTTGTCGTTGATCAATAAGATTGGACCAAATCCTACAGATGAAGAGCTTTTGAATTTGAACTTCAATGGTGTGATTCTTAGAGTTACACTTGAAGATCATGCTGAGCACACAATCAATTGGTGATTACACAGGGTATAAGAATAATATAATTAAACGTTCAAATTATCTGAGCTGTAGTCTTATAGAATAACACAACGTCTCTTTTTCTTTTTAGATACTGGAATATCATCAAATCCGTATTCAGAATTCTTGAAATAATCTGAGTAGATTGGTGGTGGAGGTGAAGCATCTCTTGATTCAATAGCTTCATTTTTTTTGAATTGTCTTGAGAATCTATTCTTCATTGATTTCCTATTTTCAGCAGCAGCGGTAGCATTAGAAGCTTCTATACTTCTTAAAGCAGCAGCAATAGCAACGTTGAACACATGATTCACATTTTCTGTTGTTTTGGCAGAACATCTGATATGATCAGAAGCACCAATTTCTTGTGCAACTTTTTCAGCTTCATGGAAATCCACACTTGAATCACTTGATGAAGTTAAATCCATCTTTGTACCAACTAATATGATGGGTATACCTGGACAAAAATGTTTAACTTCTGGAGTCCAAGTTTCTTTGACATTTTGTAAACTTGTGATGTTATTTATAGCGTAACAAACTAATAAAATGTTGACGTCTGGGTATGATAACGGACGTAATCTATCATATTCTTCTTGACCAGCGGTATCCCAAAGAGCTAATTCAATGACTTTACCTTTTGGACCTTTAACATTTGTGACATAGTTTTCAAAAATTGTTGGAACATAAACAGTTGGAAATTCACCTTGTGAATATGAGATCAATAAACAAGTTTTACCACAACCACCATCACCAACAACAACTAGTTTTATATGGAAATCAGCTTTCTTTCTTTGTGCATCTAATTCATATTGCGGTACTTCACTCAAAGCTCTTTCAACAGCAGGTGATTGGAATGTAGATTGTGTAGGTTGTTCTGGAGTTAATTGTGATTGTCTCTTCTTAGCTATATCGTATGGAGTCTCATAGGCTGTATCATCCGATGTTGCCTTTGAAGTTGAATCTGTGAAGTCCTTTACCGGTCTGATATAGTTTTTGTTATTATTATATGGTCTTGACTGAAGTGTGTTCATCTTGAGTGTGTTGTTGTTATATTATCTGACGTTTACTCTATATTTCTAAATGTAAACTAAATTTGATGAAATAGGGAGACTGCGAGTAATTTATAACCAATTTGGACAATGTATTGAAGAGCTTTGACACCTTGTATAACTATAGCAATGCCTAGATAACTTGATAGCCAGTATTCAGCCAGTGAGTTGTTGATATGAAAAAAAGGCTGTAGTAGTTGAAATGATCAAAGTTTATAGAATTCAGCCTGTTTTTATCAGTGTTTTTTTTTGTTTGTTTACTTTTCAAAAATAAACTTTTGAAATTTGATCTATTTTGAGATTTGAGATCTGCATGGTCGCGAATAAACGCTTTGATTGCCTAATGAGGAAGTCAAGGAAACGATATATTAATCAAATTTGAGTATAACAATTATATTGAAACTACAATCCAATTCTAATTTTTAATCGTTCGTCTTGTTCATTAATTTAGTCTTTGATATCTAGTTGTATAACCAGCTTTCTATCTTCATGATACTTATTCAAAAAGTTTAAATCTGCATTCTGGAACACAACATTACTTTGGAATATAGGATCTGTGAACCTTGGATCGAAATCTTTATTTAATAAACCTGTCTTGACATTAACATCTAAATGATCAACCTCATCATATGAGTCACTTTCATCGTTACCTAATGATGTATTAAAATCATCAAACAAAGTGGATGTAGAATCTTCATCTTTATCCTGTGTCTTGTAATAATTAACATCACTTTTCAGATTCCCACTTGTAGCAGCTTCACTTGGATAATTATGAGGTTTGATAATGGTGTTTTTAAAGCTCGTAATGCAACGTTCATGAATGTCTAAAGCTCTTGGTTTGAAACGATCATTTGTATCAAAATATGCTGGGATTGGATCATTCAAGACTGTATTTCTGACAATATATGCCTTTCTTCTGTTCAAAAATGCAATTATACGACATGAATAATTTGCATACTTCAAAATGTTCTGATCCTCAATACCTTTGTATAAATGTTCCTTTTTAAACGGGAATAATAGATAAAACCCATTAAATAGAAATCCGAAAACATACCTTGAACCAACAAGTATCTCCTCCATTAAATCACCAAGCGCAAACCAAAATGTATAAAAAACTTTCTCCACAGCTGGTGTTTTGGAACCAAAAGTATAGATATTTGAGGGAACAGTGAAATACCATAATTGAACCAATCTATAAATCTTATCCACTGGATAACATAAAACATGTTCATTTGATTGATAATTTTCCAGAACCTCTAACGCATATTCAATAAATGAAATCAATTGGCCGTATTGTACCCTTATTAGATCATCATGATTATATTGATCTTCATCTTCGATATATTGGGAACCAAATTCTTTTATAATTTCCAAAAATTCATATAAAGATTTATGATTATATCTTGGACTCCATACTGATCTGGCAGTGAATAACAACCCATCTGCATGATTTTTCAATTTGATGAATGATTTAGGATATTGGTCCGGATTTTCAAACCCAGTTTTTAATAAAACACTTGGTCCTGATGCTAATGAAAAGAAATCTTTGATTTTAATACTTTTGATATAAATAGATGAACTATTCAATAAACTTGTCAAGACTAATAAAGTTTCAGCATTTGAATCAGTTAAGTTTGATAATCCATTTCTAACATCGTTCATAACTAATCCTCTATATTTGAAAAAAAGACCCTCTAATTCAGGGAGTTGTGATGCTAATTTCCCCAAGCCTTGTGCCAACATACCATTGTAAAGATTTGGATCTTTTGCCGCCAAAGTCAACCTATTGTGAACTTCTCTTAACAAGAAAATTCTGGCAAAAGCATTTGGTGTTGTTTCATCAAAAAATTCAGGATATTTTTTCAAATCAAATTGAGGTGGTGAAGAATCATGTGGTATTAATCTGACAGTATTTGGATTTGAAATCTCTAAGCTATTCCCAGATCTATTTCTTGATGTGAATGCATTAGTTATAACATCCAAGTTTTGATATTGTTCGTTATCATCATTGAATGGTGAATTTTTAGATGAATATGATGAAATTGATCCATTACCAAATGGTGTGGTTGCATTGTTTTGCTCATTAAGCTGATTTTTTAAATTAGTTGATGAGTTTACTTGTGGTGCCATGCTTGATATAATTTCAATTGGATGTTTCATATCAGAAGCTGTGGATTGTGAGTGTTTACCATTACTCGAACTAATTTCTGATGGATCTTTTGATAAATCGTTCAAAGTGGTTATTGGTGTGTATTTTTGTTGAACTGGATTTGGATTATCATATGGATTTTCAACACCCTTTTTTGGTTCCTGTTGCTCTTCTTGTTGTTGATTATGATTTTGTAGTTCAGGATAAGAAGAAGGATTAGCATATAACGGGGGATGATATTGATTCTGAAAATTTTGTTGATAATAATATTGTTCTTCAGGTGACGTTATCACAGATTGTTGTTGTGACTGTGGTTGTTGTTGGATATAATAACTTTGAGGTTGGAATACTTGATTAGATTGTTGAGGATATTGAAGATGTGAAGAATTTGAAGCAAAAGAACCATGAGAGTCCTGTGAAATAGATTGTGAGCCATATGTAAATTGGGATTGAATATCTGGATATGGATAGTTGAGCTTTTGCTGTTGTTGATCATAGAAACTATTGCCATGTTGTAGTTGATGTTGTTGATGATATTGCTGATGTTGGAGCTCAATTGGCCCCATTGCGTGTTGATATAATTCATCATCATCCATATGTGATTGTCTGATTATGTTTATTTCTTGTAAAGTAAAATCCAAATAGCCACATCGTATCTGTTGGTGTTAGTAACTTTCTATTGTTCTATTCACAACATGTTGATATACTTACAGCTCTTGCAGAACATTTTTTACATGATGGTAATGTCTCATCACACTTTATTCTTCTCTGCTTACACTGAGGACACCCTAGCACTTTGTTAGTATCATATATTGATTTAATTTTAACATTATTATAATTATAACTCACCAAGTCTCGAATTTTTATGCTTTTTTCTATGTAAAACCTTCTTTGAAGCTTCACTTATCTTTTCTTCTGTTTCACCCATTATCTTTTCAATCTTTCTTTATATTTGCAAATGACTTGTATATCTTGATGAGCATCTAATGGGCTATCTTTATCTCATAAATATTAAATCTAAAAATGAATAGAGGAACAATCAAACTTCAATTAGTATGAACCGTCAATTTTTTTGATATTCGTATATATTTTGAAAGCCTTGAATCACCCTGGTAAAAAAATACTGATACTTTAGACGAGCAGCTTTAAAAAATTTTCCTTAGTATAATGCTTGGACAGAGCTCTGCTATATTCCAAGGATGATGTAGTCAGCTAAAGTATAAGTATACCCAAAATGTGAGACAGATTGACACTAGTTTAAGCTTCTCCAGCTAATTATTGTACTGAATTGAGCTTGAAGCAGGAATGAAACTTTTATAATAGGGACGGGTTTTGCACTATTCCGAGTACAAAGATTCTGGTCTCAACAAATTTATATGGAATGAAACCGCTTGTTGTGTGAAATTATTCAACTTAAGTACTTTTCAACTACAAATGGTTCCATGAAGTAAAGTAGGTGATTTATACAAGTATATATAAAGCTACAAAAATTTAAGGGATCCTGGAATGATGTACCTGAACATTCTATGTTAGATGTTTGTATATGAACTCATGATCATCTAATGAATGCACTGCAAGGTGCACGAACTACATCTTATGCTAAAGAATCAACTATATAACTGCCGCTTATGTACTGATTAATCATTATTAATCTGAACACCAATAGATCATAGTAGATGGTTTAAAAGGTATAAAGTTGTTGGATTGGCAATATTAAGCTATTCGCTATTCGCAATCTTGTCACCATGCTCAATGTGTTAAAGTTTCAAAGACTAATAGTTACTTGCATGCAAAACGCTCACCAAATAGCTGCTTTATAAAGTGGAATTATGCTAAGACTTCCTGCATCTATGCTTCAGAATCTGCACTTTAAAATTTCCTTCAATTTATGGAATATTCCTAAGAATTATATTTTTGATTGTTCCTATCAAAATCCACGACCAAACTTAACGTTAATTTTAAACAATCAAATCCTTAAGTTGACAACAATTAAAACGGCTCTCACAAGAGCATGAGTGTTAATACTCCAATATGAAGTTCTTCAATCATCATCATTTGACAAACTTTATCATAGCGAGGCTGGTTCATGACACATTTGTTAGGAAACTTTAATGATCAGTTGTTCTATTGTTCTATTAGTATATGAATTGCTCTTATGTTATCCGCATTGCCCTCAAATTGTTCTGATGGTAATTTAGCTCAAATCCATATTGAAGCTTAAATTCGCTTTTGAGCTGCCATGAAGGGCCAAGCAGGCCAGACTCAATTTGTTAATTAAATACCCTCAGAAACTTAGAGATCGACAAATTAATTAAACTTGAAATTAAGCAGTCTACATTGTTGAATCAGGACGTTGAAACTTGGTTGAAATTCATGAAGTGGTTCGTAAATTTCTGGTGTCCACCAGCTGAGTTATCTAGTATATATCAATACTATATAAGTCGACCATCTACCATCTACCACGGCCTTTATGTATATATACTAGATTGGTATTGTTCTAGACGTTAATACCTATATATAAGGCTTAAGCTGAAGCCTGAAACAGGAAAGTTAATATATAGTACCGTCACTTGTCACATTATATGCAATGAAATTGTGAATTGTAAGATTATAATTGAATTCTGAACGATATATTAATACAGCTATGCATTTGTAGTTGGCCTGTATTGATATGATAAGTATTGACCCCAAACAAGATCCTAGTTTTAACCAATTAGTAATTCCATTTGGTGTAATTAATTAATCATATGTGCGCAGCTAGTTTCATTTAAGAGCTTATATATTATATAATACCTATCGATTAATTATATAGAGGATCACAGACCAAATTGTACAGATATACTATAACTTTAAAGCTTGTTAATATAATTAATGCAGTGTCTTTTAACTAATATCGATGACTAGAGCTAAAATTAGCTGAGTTGGTGCACCACTAGCTGCAAATTATATATTCAATCGAACTGTGAATTCTTTTGCTATATAGATATAGCACCCGTGAGATTTGGAATCTCATAATATGATCTGATTGGTAATTACCAAAATCATGGTGTACACTGTATATAAGACTATCTTGTCCATTCTGCCTTCTAAAACCGCTTTGTACTCTAATAATAAAATAAGAGTACTTGGTCCCGTTTGGGCTTATTCAGAACTAGGGAATAACTTTCCATAAATTCGGGATTTGCATGATCTGGATTGTTACACGTCTGTAAATGCAGAAGATTTCAAAGCGATGGACCATATAAAATTTGGAGTTGTTCTTGTTGATGCTAGTGAATGGAGGCTTTTATCACAGCTTAGAAGCCTTATAGGCTGCCAGTGAAACAGAATTGTCGATCATAGGTTAAACTATTGAGTTTGGTTTACAAATTACCTATCGCTGTGTTTATCATCGTTCGATTATTATAATTGGAATACATGATGGGCTTAGAAATACATCGACCTGCCTAGCTATTGATGTCGAGGTTGATGATTTCATTATTCATGAAGCAAAACTGTGCATCGTTAATGTAACTATAGGGGGGCAGCCGTTAAGAAAGCCATATAATTAAAGCTAAAAGCTATACAATTAAAATCTTCAAACTACGTTCAAAGACATGATCAATAGTGTTTAACCTTTATAATTGATCAAATAGATACCAATTTTACCAAAATAATTCACGTCATTAAGTGAACAGGACAATAACACACTAAAGACCGTTGAATTAGCAGCTATGCAGTCAACCAGCTTATAGGCACAGAAATGTATATATATATGCTAGAAGGCTATTAGAGCTATAAGCTATAAGCTACGTCTATTAACAGGATTCAGTATAGAAGATACAAGCTGATCAAATTAATAAGTCACATGAGTTTGAAATAAGAAGTATATAGTAAAATGATCATACATATTATTGTATCTTATATTGAGTATATAAACGTCGAATACCAAAGCCTGCAGATGGCCGATCCAAGTACAATGTTACTATATCTTTGCCTGGATATAATTATATGATATATATATACGTCTATTATCCTTGGAAGAGGATCCCAACTCCATAGCTCACTGCTTTATAAGTTAATTATGTATTGTTCTATGCAATCATTTATCAGCTTATATATGTAGTAAATTGAGTATGAGTTTAATGAAGGTCATTTTCAATATTTGTATGGCTCGGTTATTTGGGCCATTCAGGAACTCATGATCTACGACTCGCAATTTCGGAACCTTAAATAACCCCTATCTTTCCGAACGAAATTAAGCACTACATAACTATTACAATATAATTAGAGTAGTTCAAACTTTATACTTCCACAACTCATGAGACTTACTACTTCTTAAATTACTACACCATTGATTACCAGTGACATTATTAACTTTGACGTATCCATACATCTATTACTTAACAAAGTTCTAATCCTTAATGGACGTTTGAATGTATGGTTCCGTTTAATAACTGCGCCCAGGGCAACCTAATAAAGGGCTTAAGCTATGTAAGATTGCATTGTTGAGAAAAAGATCATATGTGTTCAAATCTAAAACTATCAATTAAGGCTAAAATATATCATGAACTATGAAAGAACATTGTATTTGAAGTACGATGATGAGTATTGTTCATCTCTATGACCTATGACCATTTATGGTATTTCTTCCAACATATGTTGATCATTATAATTGTGAACTTCGATTCGATCTGGTTTTGTTGCAAAATGGTAACGTGATAATCAATTATTCACTTAACTTCCTAAGATGTTGAAAGCTATCAAAGTCTACATTATTAAGCATGCTTAATTACCCATGATCAAAGAAGTTATATAAAATATAATGTCTATATTATTTCAGATGATAACTAAACAGAGTATAAAGCTATGAATAAATGAAATATATTTAATGTCACATCTAATACTGTTCTTGAATATCCATGATCAGGAAAGAAGCTAGCTGATGAATTGCACCATTTATCATTATTTTATTGAATGGATCAGTCCTATTTGAATCAGCTCGATAATTGATGTGTTGTATGTTATAATTGTTCTTTTTAATTGTGTTCCCAATCTGATGTTCTTATAAGTACGGAGAAATTATTTAAAATCATGAATCAACTTTAAAAATCCCACTAATTAATTCAACATATTCACTAAATATTTGAAAAATTGAATTAACTTCATACATTATCCAAAAAATTAATGCAAACTTAACTAATAGTTTTGAATTTGGTGTTAAATTTGATTGATCAATCCTTTCAAATATATTTGATAAAATTGGAATGTTTGATAAAGTACTCATTATTGTAATATCTTCATTTCTATTAGATCTTCTAACAGTTGATTGTGATGCTGATGATGGTTGAATTGAACGATGTGGCGATGGGGTTGGGAAACCATCTCGTAGATCATTTTGTGAAAATGTTGAATTTGATGGACTAACAGGTTGTGATAATGATGATTGAGGTTGACGATTTGGTGTTAATTCTAAATTTTTTGGAACAACTAATTGTTGATTTGAAGGTTGATCAGATGGGGTAATTGATCTTTTATCTTTCTTCTTCTTTTTTTTAGAATCATTAGTATTAAACATCTTTTTCAAAAAACCCTTCTTTTTTTGAATCTTTACAGGTTGTGATAATTCCTGTTGTTGAGATGATATGGTTGTTGTTTGATGTGGTTGCTGAATCAAGATTTCTGGTGTTTTGGATACATTTGTAGACTCAATTTCATTATCAACATCACTAGGACCAGCTCTTGCTATAAAACTTTCTCGACTTGGATCTTTGGGTAAGACAGGTCTAACATCTGATCTTATACTTGTGTTTGAGCTATTCACTGTATCTTCAGGTTTTAAAAATCCTTCATCACGTTTTGGAGATTCTAAAACTTTTTGACGTTGAGCAGATTCATCATCACGTTCCCTTGGTTCCCTTGGCTTAGATCTAAATTCTGGGTCATAAACTGGATGTATTAAAGGTTCAGGTGGTGTTGGAGGCTGTTGTTGTATAGACTGTGGGGCTTGTTGTGAACTAATGTCAAAACCTCTCCAATGGTTTTCATATCTATTATAAAATTTCTCATATTCCCATGGTGCACTTATAGCTTCTTTATATTCAGGTTGTGGTGTATAAAAACTTGGTGCTTGTTGATACTGCTGGTAATATTGAGGTGATTGATATCCATAATTTTGATAACCTTGTGGCGGGCCTTGTTGATAACCTTGTGGTGGGAAATAACCACCAGGACTTGGACCTGGTGTAGGACCTTGATTAGGACTTGTACCTGTACCTGGACCTGGACCATATCTATACCTTGGTTCTTCATTTTTTTCGAAAAAATAACCATTATTTGTAATTCTTAATTCACCTCTACTTTGTAATTGATTTTGAATTGAATTTTCATAACCCATTGCAATTGTTGGCATAACTGGTAAAGAATCATCGCTACCATTTTTTTTATGTTCATAAATTTTATTACCTGAAGATTTGAAAATTTTCCATTTGGGATTATTTTGATTATTTATTGGTTCTGAATCTTCAAAAACATTTTGTTCTGGTGATCTTTGAACTTGTGATTTATTCATTTGATAATATTGTTGTGATGATAATGGTCTTGAAGGAGGTGTTACAACTCTTTTCTTAGAGTTTGTATGATGATGTTGACGAGGATTAGCATATCTAGTACCAGACCCACTGGGTATATGTTGTTGTTCCATATTGTTCCTTATTCTTGATGATGGTGATGATTGTGGTGATATGGTTGTCATAGTTATGAAAGTCTATTAATGCTTGAGAAATAAGGTAGAAGTTATAAAAAAGTTGTGATTGATGGTGCGTATAACTTTCTTAATAAGGATCTACCAATTTTTTTTTTTTTTGATGGAACTTTGACACTAGCTTCTATACCGTATTCTTGCTCGTGTTTCCATATTTTTGTTTTGTTCTTTGTGGGATGGCTGGTTCTTATATTTATTTTTGGCATATCCACGATTTTTAAAATTTCGGCCGTCGCGAATTCATCCCGCATTTATTTCTGAAACCTTCAACAGTTGATTGAATTCTTCATCAACATGATCAGGAAATAACATTATTATACAATGGACAATTAGGGTCATTAGCGGGATTTGGTGCTTAGTTATAGTAACGGTAAACTAATTCTACTTAAATATGTACGCTTAAATGTAAACATAGCATAAGTATTCATATTAAACTAACTTAGATAATGTATGGTTGTATGCATCTAAACTAATATTCTTCATCTAGCTAGAAATGTGGTTTTAAATAAAAATGGTAATATAAAAATAAGAAAATGAGATCCCTTCTAGAAGGTCATCAAGAATTGAAAATAAGATAATTGTGTCATAAAAATTATATAGTAAAACTCCTTAGCTCCCGCAAGTATATAATAACCTTGATATATCATAATGAATGAATCAAATCAAATAAAATAAACTTAGATATTAGATTCAATGAATTGTTTCATGTCACCAACAATTTTTTCAACATTAGCTTCTAAATCTTTTAATAAAGCAGCTGAATCAACTTTTGGAGTTTTGATAGCTTCTTCAGATGATGAAGCTTCAGCATTCCAGAAATCTTCCAAGTCACCACCAGCACCATTGTAAATTAATTTATTTGGAGTATCTGATGGGATATCAGTTAATTTATCTTTAGTTGAGTAATCAATGATTTTCTTCTTCAATTGAGCTGGAGTAATACCACCTTTAGCAGTAAAGAATTCAGATTCTGAACCTGGTTGTAAAGATAAGTAATAAGTTAATAAACCAGCAACATGTGGTGAAGCCATTGAAGTACCTGATAAAGTAGCAGTGGCGGTATCTGAACCAATATAAGTTGATAAAATGTTCAAACCTGGACCAAAGATATCAACACATTTACCATAGTTAGAGAAATAAGCTCTAGCATCTGATAAAGTTGAAGCACCAACAGTAACGGCCTTTTCAGCTGAAGCTGGTGAATAGTTACAAGCATCAGCGTTATCATTACCAGCGGCAACGGCGAAATGAATACCAGCATCAACAGCAGCGTTAACAGCTAAATCTAATGAAGGAGATTTACCACCACCTAATGACATATTAGCGGTAGAACCTTTGAAACCTTTTTTACCTTCTTTAACGGCAGCTTTATGAGCGACAGCAGCATATTCGACACCTTTAACAACATCAGACATGGTACCTGAACCATTTGATCTTAAGACTTTAACGGCAACAATGTTAGCTTTTTTAGCAACACCATAAGTTTTACCACCAATGGTACCAGCACAATGAGTACCATGACCATTACCATCAACATCTTGATCACCTTGAGGAACAGTTTTACCCCATTTTGCTCTCTTATCAAAATCTTGATGACCAACATTAACACCGGTATCAATAACATATGAAGTAACACCTTCACCAGCATCAGTATCATATAAATATTTGTTAAAAGAACCTAAAGTTAAACCTTCACGATGAGAGATTCTTGATAAACCCCATGGAGCACCATTTTGAGTATCAAATTCATTAGCATAAACTCTTGAATCTTGTTCAACAAAGGCAACATGAGGATTACGACGAATTAAATCAATGGTATCATCCAAGAAATGACCAAAATAACCAGAGATTGAACCTTCAATATGGAAACCATCAATGACACCACCTAATTCTGAAGCAGCTTCTTTGAAAGAATCTAAAAAGAATTGATTAGTTGGGTTAGATTGATACAGTTTTTGAGCAGCATTCAAATGAGTGATTGAAGCCCATTCTTGATGGAATTTAATTTCTTCTGGTTTGACACCATCTTTGAAGACAACAATGTAACGGTTTGGAATAACATCACGACCAAGAGCTTGAGTTGAAATGATTGGAGCAGCTTCTTCTTTAGATAATAAGGCATTGTTCAAGATGGTTGGATCAACATCAGCTAAGGCAGCATAAGGAGATTCTTGAATTTTAGCAACTTCAGCATTTAAAACTTGTTGTTGTTGATTGTTCAAAGTTTTAGAAACTTGAAACAAGTTTTGGTTGTTAATGTTTGGAATAACTAAAGCTTGAGCTAAAGCAACCAAAACGGTTAAAGGTAAGACAGTTGAAGCTTTCATTTTTTTAAAATTAATGAAAATGAGATGCAATTAAATTTTCTGAAAGATGAAACTTTAAAATGATTGACTTTTTGTATAGTTGTTTAAAGATTGAAAGACAAAGTTAATATATATAGTTGGGTGGCACCTTTCTTATATATAAATTTCCCTTGACAGATAATTAAATCTTTATTAAACAACGCAAGCGCTTTAATTGAAGTGAGTAGATTTGTGAGAATACCAACTGCCGCTGTAATAAACCAATTGGACAAGGATGAATCAATTGGAATAGAATTGAGAAGGTTGTTGGATGTGAAGGGAGAGAAGGTAAAGTAAAATGTGGGAAAGGGTGGCAAGCTACTACTTTATATAGGATTGGAGCACACTACAAATTTAGTGATGAGCTAATTTCGGTATGCGCAGTCGCTGGTGCCAAAATTCCCCTAGTAAACTCTGCATAACCACCTCGCTGTGACACTTATGCACATAGTGATACCAGCCGGGTCACCCCTGTGTTACGTAATGCACCATTTTAGATAAGATAAAGATAAGCCCTTTTAAAAAGAGATCTGCCGAAAGGAGATTTCAAATTCACTTGTTTAAACAGAGGGAATCTTGTTTAGGCGGAGTGAATCACGCAATTAGGAAGGAATTATCACGAAATTGGCAAGTAAATGTTATCGGTGGCGTGCTCACTGCTGAGCTTAAGCTGGAATCTGGAGTAATTGCGAGTTGCTAGGCTGAACTGAAAATAGACCTAGGCAGAGATTCGAGAATTAGGCAAAGGCAGCCACTGGCCACTGGCCAGCTAGAAGAACGGAATCCTGTCTAAAGAGTAAACACAATCTAAAGTTAACCCTTGTACATCTTGTAAACATCAACATGACCAGCTTATCAAACTAGAAATTCAAACAACGCTCATCTCGTCTATCATCCAGCAAACCCAAGAACAATATCCTGTAGTTAACTTGTAACTTGTAACTACGTGACTCAGAAATTAGAATCCACAATTCAGTCGCGTATTCCAATGGATATGCGAGTGAAGTCTACAAAAGAATCGTATAACACCTGGTTTTCAAACTGGAAAGAATGGTGAAATATAACAAAATTTGATAGAATATGTCTATATAAACAAGATAATCAGTTCATCACTTTCTTCATTGCTAAAAGATCAGAATATTCATTGTCCTTGGTAAAGATATACACTACAAATCCAAGATCTTCTTTGTCTCATAGGGTCCTAAATTAGTCACCGTTCATCAAAATATCGCTAAGGCAAAATTTGAAAGCTAATTATTATGAGTTCAACTAGATCTTCACCTTCTTCATTACCATCATCAAACTCATTCATAGATCATGATATTTCTTCAGAAGATCATGAAACTGATTCACTATTGAATTCTACAACAAAGCAATTAAATCATGATTCTATTCAAGATATTCAAAATGATCATCAACTTTTATCACCAGAGTTGAAATCATTAATCAAGAAAAGATTATACATATCACATTTCCTTTATGTTTGGAATTCAAGAATGTATGAATTTGGTATAGGATTATTCATTATTAATTTATTCCCAGGTACTTTATTCCCATCTTCATTATTTGCATTTTGTTCAAGTCTTTCAGGTATATTGTTAACACCATTTGTTACCAAATTAGCTAATCATGGTGAAAGATTGAAATTCATAAAAGAAACTATATTTATTCAAAGATCATTTGCTATTTTATCATCATTAGTACTATTAATAGTTTTCCAATTTTTTGATAATCATAAAATTTTTAAGAGAAGTTGTCTAGCTATTGTGATCATTTGTGGTATTGTGGAAAGATTAACCACTATAGCAAACAAGATTTCAATATCAAGAGATTGGATTGTTAAAATATGTCATAATGATGAAGATTTCTTGATTGAATTGAATACCAAACTAAGAAGTATTGATTTATTTTGTAAATTAGTTGCACCTTTTTTCATATCATCATTTATTACATTCACAGGATTTAAAATTACTTTAATTTTCATCATTTTAGTGTTTTTAATATCAAATCAAATTGAATTTAATATGATTTTAAAACTTTATCATTCAGTTGATTCATTAAATGAATCTCAGGATATTATAAGTGCTAAAAATAGTAAATCACATTTAAGAAACAATCTTTCATATTGGGGAAATTTAAAACTTTTCATTAAAAATCCATTTTCTTTACTTATTTTATCAATATCATGTGTTTATTTAACAGTCTTATCATTTGGGAATTCTACAATTGCATATTTATTAACTTTTGATGATATTAATAATCTAACTATTGGGTTTTTAAAAGGTGTTTCTACAGCATTTGAATTATTTGGTACTCTGTTGATTTTCCCCTTTTTGAGTAAAGCTTTAAGTGTGATTAATGTTGGATTCATAGCTGTTATATTCCAATTACTTTCATTAATACCAATTTTATTTTCATTCATATGGGAATATTCCAAGACACATTGGTTAATTTGTTTTTGTATTCCATGGAGTAGAATTGGATTATGGTGTTTTGATTTAGCTGTTCAAAATAGTATACAAATTCATATTCATGATGAATTTGAAAGATTTAATGTTACTACTTTTGAAGAAAGTTTAAATAATTTCTTTGAATTAAGTAGTCAAATATTAACAATGATTTTCCATAAACCTGAACAATTTAAATATTCAGTTTATGCAAGTATTGGTGCAGTTGCTGTTGCTGTTGGGTTTTACACCATTTTTGTGGTTAAATTGCATTTCCAAGCATTCAAAACATCAGGAGAGGCATAGAAGTAGCCCATTGATATAAATAGATCAAATTTCATCAACTTTTCAGTTCTTTTAATAGATTTTAATAGATTTCTTTTAATATTCATAGCTTATCTGTGTAGTGGATTTACCAAATATTGAGATTTTCCGAGAAGTTCATAATGGCGAATAACCAAAAGCAAAAAAAAGATCAAAGTTAATTGACACATTGATCTAGTTAGTCAGAGTAATCATTGATAACTATACAAGAATATGTCAGACATCGAAGAAGAACAATATGTTGAGCTCCCGATTGTCAACTTCCCACCTTTCAAACTACGGTCATCCATGGTTGATAAAGATCCAGTAATTTGGGTTCATTTAATTGAAGTTTATATAAATTATATTCAAACTATTTTACAATTAAAAGTTCAAATATCTCCAAAATCTGAACAACAATTATGCCTATTTGTGAAAAGTTATTTACATGAAATTGCTGAAGAACAAGGTCAAATCTTATCATTGGGATTGATTAATGTTCAAATTACACAAAATTTAGATATATTAAGAAGTTGGATATTAGAATTGATTAAACAATATGGTGTATTAAATTTAAAATTAAATGGTGGTGCTCTTTGGGATTTTGCTAAAATTTATTCATTGAAAAACACTTCCACAGTACGAGGTATTATTGATGGTACATTAAAACCAAAAGATAAAAAATCTATAAATTCAATTTCTTTAGTTCATAAACATATTGATTCCATTATAAGTAATGGGAAATTTGATAAGATAGATTTACAAACTTTGGCAACATTACTAGAGAATAAAAGCAAATCCTCACCTTCATCATCATCATCATCACAAAAAGCACCTAAAAAACCACAAAATAAAATTGCTAAAGCTAAAAAAACTGCATCATTTTCCGAAACTTTTGTTACTGTTCCATTCATTGAAAATTTGGAAAAATTATATGCAAATGAGGAAGGTAGATTTGCGAAAACTGCTAAAGATATTGCAGTATTATCATTAATTTCAATACCAATTTCTAAAGTTGCAAGTATAGGTACTGAATTAGGTGTTAATACATTACAATCATTATCATTATATCCATTATTTGGTGGTATTATTGCATCATCAAGTTTCCATCTTTTAAACCCAGGTATTGAACAAAGATTCCCATTTTTAATTAAAAAACCTAAACCGGATGTTAAAGAAGATGATATAAATACTTTAATTGATTTATTCCCTGATTTAACTATATCTCATACTGAAAAATTATTGAAAAAATATAAAAATAATGTTGAAGAAGTTACGAATTTGTTATTAGAGCATCCAGAAGCTGCTATTGAAAAAGAAGAAGAAATTACACGTCATACAATGGGTGGTTCAAATCTTGAAAAGGATAAAGTTATGGGTAAAAAAGTTCTTGGTAAAAAATCATCAAATACATATCATGTTCCTGATGAACACAAAAATCGTACATTGACAGCAGCTTTGAAATTAATGTATGAATCTGATGAAGATGAACATGATGATACTTATGATGAAGCTGAAGCTGTTCAAAATGATGGAGAAAAATCAAAATATGATAAGATTGAAAAAACATTATGGGAAATCTTCAAGAAAGATCCATCAGTTTTCGAAAAATCTAATAGAAAGTCAAGATCTAAACAAGAATTAGTCAAAGAAACAGGTTGGTCTCATGAACAAATTGAAGGTTGGGCTCGGATGTTACAAAAACAACCTAAACGTGTCAAGATTTTGGAAAGTAAGTATATGTTTAGAGGTAATAAACCTCAAAGAAGTTTTAGATCTGAACAAGATGAAGAAATTGAAGAAGAACGTAGAGGTCCATCAACAAACAATAAACAATCACAAAAAAAACCTCCTCAACAACAAGCTCAAGGAAATAATTCAAATCCACAAAATGTTAAGAAACAACAAGCAAGAAATGAAAAAAATAAATCATCAAGAGCTAATCATAATAGAAAATCTGGTCATGATAAAAAAATGGCTAAAGGTATGTAATTTATGAGCACCTACATGGAAGACAAATTATTATATACATATGCATCTATATTTATTTTAAAATAAAAAAGTTAATTTTTTGTTAAAAAGAAAACCTAGATCTAAACTCTTCTCTTTTTTGTAGATTTTTTCTCTATTTTATCTAATTCATCCCAAACTTCATCTTCATTACCTTCATCTTCTTGTTCAATTTGTTTTCTACTTTTCTTTTTAGTCTTTTCAGCATCAGTTCTAATTTTAATTTCACCTTCAGTTTCTTCATCAGATAATAACCAAACTGCACTAATTTTAGAACCAATATAAATCTTTGCAACTTGTTCTCTTGATCTAATATCAAATATTCTAATATATCTATCTAGGGCACCTGTAACTAATAGTTCAGAATCTTCAGTGATATGTGAAGATAAAGCTTCCACGGCACCAACATTACCTTTAAATTTGGCAATTAAATTACCCTTTTCCACATTGAATAAAGCAGTTGTAACATGAGTATCTGCACATATTATTTCATCTTCTTTTGAAGTTGTAACAACTCTTACAAGTGGTTTATCAGAAATTTTTTTATCCAAAACAGGTTTACGACCATGTGATGTATCATATTTTCTAACTTGTCCATGACCTGTTGTTGTAATAAATTTCCATGAAGATTCAGTATGTTCTTCTAATTTTATAAATGAAATATTTGTTATCCATATTGGAACTCTAAGATCAAGTTTATCATTTTTAACATTTTTACCTTGAAACACAGTTTCAACTTTAAGTTCCTTTTTATCAAATGGAGTTTCACCATCTTTGAAAAATTTAATCAATTTAACATCATTTTCTTTACCACCAAATGCGAAAAGTCCTTCTTGAGTTGGATGTGATACAAATGTTGAAATTGGTGCTTTAATTGTCAAATTTTTATAATTAATTTTATCTTCAAATATAGTATCAGGATCAATTATAGTGACTCTACCTTGTTCCGAAACAGCATATAAATAACCAGAAGCATTAATCAAAGAAACAAATTGATCTTTTATTGATGAATCAAATGGATTTAAAATTGTATTAATTAATTCATAATTTTCAGAATTATAAAAAACAATATTACCATTTGCCCTCGCAGTAGCTATCACTTCATTTTCATTAGCTGATGTTATTAAAAACCTTTGAACACGATTTTTAAGACCTTCATTATTATATGTTTCAATTTTTTCAGGTTGTGGAGCTTTTTGAGATGATGTATCAGTACCTTTTGGGAAAGTAATTTCTATAAAAAAATCATTAGTTAGTATGAAAGACATGGGAGATAAAAACTAAATGGTTGAGTCACATACCTTTCAAACTCCCTGTATCATCGGCAGCAGCTAATACTTTCATTTTTGATTATTGTTGTGGGTTTGTAATATATGAATTTATTATCCAAATATTGAAATGTTTATATGCCATCTACTAAAACTTTTTTTTTATGATGAGCTCCGAAAACGGAAAGGTTAGTGTCCCGGGGTTGAAACTTAGCATTATATACTAATTATTACAGAAAACCACAAGTTGATATCAGACTTTTAATTTATCTATTATACACATTTCATTACTCTAATTTCCTGTTTTTTTTTAATTCATACAATTTCCTTTTGTTCAGCAGATATAACAGAGAGACATTGGAATTCATTTGAATAAGAAGCTTTCCATAACCTTATTTTCCCATCATCACCAGAACTACTTAATATAGTACCTGTTAAATTCCAAGAAACAGACCAAGTTTCACCATGATGATCATCATGTTCACTTATTAATTCCACTTGAATCTCTACATTTGATTCATTATCTTCTTCTTCATCATCTTCATCGTTATAATCATTATTAATAATTTTTTTTTGATTTTTAAAATTTGAATTATTTGTTAATCTTTCAGTTAATTTAAAAATTCTAATTTTACCATCTTTACATGCTGTTGCTAATAATTGATAAAATCTCCCCATTGATGGAGCCCATGCAACATCTCTAATAAGACCTTGATGATCAGGTAATGTAGTTGCTTGTACTAATTTCCCTGATGCATTACGATGATAAATAAAACCTTGATCTAAGGCACAAACAACAATTTTTTCAGGTGAAAATCTTGAAGTACACCAAGCCAATGCAAAATCAGATTGTAAATTTGAAGCAGGAGGAACACTTAATACAGAAACTTCGGAAGTTAAAGTCCAAGATCTTAAATCTGCAGGTTCCATAGCATCATAAATTCTTAATACACCATCACTACCAATTGTACTTAATCTTAAACCTAAATGACTTGGAGCAAAAGCAACATCATAAAGTGGACCTCTTGAATCATTTAAAGTAGCTAAATGTTTCCAACGACGACCAGAATTTCTTTGTTCATCTAAATCTTCTTCCCAAATTTTAACAGTTTTATCATGTGAAATTGAAGCAATAATTTTCCCAAATTCCGGTGAAGACCAATCTATTTTAACTATTGAAGCATGATGAGCCTTCCATGAGTCGTTTAAGACCCATTCATTTGAGTTTGAATCAAGATCAAATATTTTGATATGTTGATCAGATGAACATGTAGCTATTTGTTTACCATAAAAATCATATGAAACGTCATGTATCAATTCTTCATGTTGTGTTGAGAAAGGTTTCATTGTGTATCTGTGGTGGTATTATATTGACTGTTGATTACTCAAATGAACTGAATACTAGAACTATCAAAATTTATCAACTTTTGTTCTTTTTGTTTATATTCAATATTCAATTCTCTATACAATCTCAATCGAAAAAATCCAAAACCTGTGTTACGAGACACACAAAATACGCGAATTTATAATAAAGTACTTATACAACTGATTACAAGTATTTAAATTAATATACTCAAGTGATATTTTGTAAATAACATGGTATATAATAGAGTGATTATAGTTAATTGAATATCATTGTATAGTGGACTAATATCGTGGTGGTAGCTGTAGTTGCCTATTCGTATACAACTAAGCTCATTCTACACTAGTCTGAAATCAATTGAAAAAATAATCAGATAACATCATCACCAAACTGAATACTAACTTTATTAAAAGAGTCCATATATCAAATTGGTCGTGCTTATCTCTTCATATATTCATATTGGAAGTATGTGATATGAAATCTATCAATTGTTCAAATATAAATTAAATCAACTTTTGAACTAAAAGAAATCATTACCGTAAAGACTACCTAAAGCAAATAACAACGACCCTCGTAGTAATAACTATGTTTGATATCTGGCTTAGCCAATATTCATCCATGACACCCTAAGAAAGGGAAAACAACGCATAATTGAAAATGAATTTAACAAACTTTTGAAGTCCAGCTGACAGTTAATTGATTATACGAGTATTTTAAATGTAATTACTATCAAAAGTTAGAAATTCTTCATTTTCGTCGTGTCCGCTTCGGAATCTCGCGATTGTGTGTGCGCGCCTAGTTTGAAATGTAAACAATAATAATATTCAGCATTTTTGATCTGGTAACTACTACTTCATAGGGTCAAAGAATAGCTGCTTGGTTAATCATACAATGGCTGAGCTGTTTAGAACAAGAGGAGTGGTGGAGAGGATAGCCATACACTTATCCATCCCAGATTATCTCAGTTTAGCTTCGGTTTCAAATTTCACGGCAAAGACACTTGGTGAATCAATTGACGATGGTTATTTTAAAGATAGATTGAAAAGAGTATTGATATTGATCAATCCAAAACATAGTGATGATGACTTGCTGGCAGATCATCATCCTACTAATGTATTTGACTCTATCAAAACTTCAAATCACCCAAAAAAAACTGTACTGTTGATCTATAGACAATTGAAAACTTTCATATTAAAGATAAGAAATCTTGAAGAATTAGATATTGATGATTATGAATTATCTGAATTGTTTGGTTATGGATATCAAACAATTGATCAGGCTAAAATTTTACAAAATATTGCCAAATTTATTGAAATGGATAATAATGATGAATTGTTTTATAATAATCAACGGGATAAAATAAGGAAATTGATTAAAAATTTTACAAAATTAAGATTTGAAGAAATGCAAGAACAATTTATATTGGAAAATTATGATAATGCTTATGAATTAGTTAATGTCTTAACCACACTAGGTGAAATGGATTTAATTGTTGAATTTTTCCAACAAGAATATAAATTCCCAATAGATTTTTTCCCACAAACAATATTAGATTTACAACAAAATTTAATTCAAGATTCATTAAATGATGTTATAAATGATCTTGTTCAATTTTTCAACGATAAAATTAAGATAATTGATCAAGCTTTTGGTGAAAATTTACCAATAATGTTGATATATTCAGAAAATATCATAAATAAAGATGTTATAAATGGATTTTTCAAAAAAGAATGTGAACAAAACATTGAAGTTATTCCACAAATTTATCTATCATTATTAAATTCATTCATACCAAATTTAATTGATTCTCGTAATGCAGGTGGGAATTTCAAATCAATTTTGATAAATTTTATAAATCTTTATTTTGAACCACTTGTGGTGAAATTTCTTAATGAAGAAATTAAATCATTTGAAGATGAATCAATAAATGATATTCAATTTTTCGAAAATGAATTAAAACAACAAGATAAATTAGATGAGGATCATATATATAAAAATATAATGACTGAATTTAATACAGAAGATGCACAAAATAAAAAATTTGAATTATTATCAAGTTTTACCAAAATTTTCTCCAAAGCAAATAAAGATTCAAATGAAATTAAATTTAAATTAAATTTTGAAATTATAAATAAGAATTTGAAAAACTTGAAAAATTTTATAAATTTTGAACTTTGTTATAAAATTATTGAAAAAGCTAAATCAAAGATTGAAATTTTTCAAATTTTTAATAATTCAAAACATTCAATTGTGGATCAATCAAAAATAAATAATTTAATTGAAGATTTATTTATTAAATTAGTTTCACTAATATCAAAATATCATATAAAACCAGGTTTTACCAAAGCTATGGATTTTTTAAATAGATATGATCCTACAGAATTCAAATCATTAGAAAGTATAGAAACTTCAACAACAGTAGAACCATTAATAAAATTTACAGAATTAATAAATATAGGAGATTTAATTCAACAAATGATTGATATTTTTTATAATAATGAATTAGTTCAAAAAAAAATTTTATCAAAAGATGAATTTTTAAATAATTCAAATCAAACAAAAAAACAATTTGAAGTTCAATTAGATAATTTCGTGGCAAATGGTTTAAATATTGGTATTGATAAATTAATGGCAGAAATTGAATTTTTATATAATACAATACAATTACCAAATGATTTTAATCCTAAACCATCAACTAGTTCAAGTTCAACAACAACTCATGATAATGAACCAATAATTTCAGTGGGACCAACAAAATGTGCACAAAAAGTTGTTAATTTATTATCAAATCATATAAATTTATTAAATGGTTCTACAGAAATGGGTATAATTGATGTTTTCCAACAAGAAATTGGTGAAAGATTTTTCCAAATTATAGTTAAAAATATTAAAAAACGAATAATTTCCACATCAGGTTCAATAATTTTAATAAGTGATTTAAATTTATATTATGATTTTATTATAAATACATTAAAACAAAAAAATATAACACCATTATTTATTGGTCTAAAGGAAATTGGTCAATTATATTTAGTTAGTACTCAAGATTCAAAAGAATTAGGTAAATTAATTGGTGATTTAAGTAAATTTAATGGAATTTTTAGACAAGAGGAAATTTATGATTTTGTTCAAAAAAGAGCTGATTGGTTTAAAGTTAAAAAAGATGTTGAAAAAGCAATGTATGGATTAGGTATAACTGATTGTGTTATTGTTTAAAAAGTCATAAAATAAATATATTTATAAAGCGCTATATCTATCATGTAGTGACGTTCAAGAATATACAATTTAATTCTATATATATACACCACATCGTGTTTTTTATAATATACAAGAGTAAACAAGTAAACAAAGTTATAAACATCAAACAAAAAAATCAAACTAAAAGATTGTCAATATGTCCAGATTTATTTCAAGACTTTATCATAATTAACCCATAATTCACCAAGATAATCATAAAGTAATTGTTGATTATCATCATATTCAACTAAAGTCCCCTGATAATAACTATCATTACTACCACCTATATTATCATAAGCACAATATAAATAACCACCACAACCAAACATAACATCCCAACCTGATGAAGGTTCACCCAGGTCATTATTAATAACACGTTCTTGTGGTGGTGGAACTAAAATAGCACTAATTTTTAATGGACCTTGATAATTTTTCTTTAATTGTTCTTCATTATCGAAAACATTTTTGTATAAGTCCATAGTTATATCTTTTGAAGCTTCATTTTCTCGTTTACATGTAATAAACCCTGAATTCATCCATAACAAGGTATGATCATCTAAACCTGATAAATGAGCTGGATGAGTTGTACATAATTGATGAGATTTTAATTTTGATCTTCTTGAATCATCTTTATCACCTAATAATCTATTTGAATTTGGATTAATTTGTCCAACAGCACCAACACCATGTTTATTTAAATAATAATTTTCATCACCTGCAATGGAAAAACCTAACCAAAATAATTCTTTATCACCATGAACTCGCGTTGTCACGGCATGCCACATTTGTAATACATTAATAGTTAGAGTTGATCTCATATGATTTTTCTTGTTTATAGCAACCATACCTGATTCTTGAATATGTTTTTTCATATCACCAAAAAATCTATTTTGCATTGTAAAATTTGTTAATTCAGGAATTTGGAAAAATGAAGAATCTAATCTTGTTGGTAATAATTTTTTGAAAAAAGTAGCTTCAGGACCTGTAATATGATCATATAATTGACGATCTTTGAAAAAAAAAGCACCTTTTTGTTGATAAACATTTGAATCTAGGATGAATTCTTTAATATCAACAAATGGGACAGTATCTGTATCAATTAAAACTGTATCTTCAAATGAACTGAAAAGTAGAGTTAATAATTTATTACCATAAGTTATAAATCTTTGATCATTTGGGTTTATAGCAGGAGTTGTATCAACAAACCAAATTTCCTGTGGAGGGAAAATAGTTTCAATATTTAATTCTCTTAAATGTTGGAAATTTGATTGAATATAAGATTTAAATGAATTGATCTTGTTTAAATTCAAATCTAGGGATCTTGAAACATTAATAAGTGCATCTTGTGAAGTTGAATTTAAATCACCTCTATGAATGATTTGAATTGGTAATTTATTATTTATGGCTCTTAACACTAGGATTAAACTTGATAATTCATCAAGATGTTTATCAGCAGCTGATATTACAATCCCTTGACCATTAAAAGAATTCATTAATGATCTTGTGAAGCATTTAGTTTGATTTTTTGGGAGTTGAGTCTCTGTTAAATTTGTCTTGTACTCAACATTATTTAAATAATTTTCTATAATTGGTAATTGTTGTAAAGTTTCATTATTCCATCTTTTATAAATTGGTAACTTTCTAGTTAAGAATTTAAATAATCTTTCTTCATTTGAATCACATGTAATATTCCCATTCATATTATCAATTTTAAATTGTTCCTGGGGTGAAGTTTTAGGATCTAAATAACATTGACTGAAAACTCTTAAGTTTGTTAATTGTGAAGTTATATAAGTCTCAGTATCTTCAGATTCCTTATAAGCTTGTCTATATTGAGATTCCCATTTAAATTTTAAATTTTTTTCATCAATTAATTTTTTTAAATCTTCATCTGATATTGAATCTTTATCTTCTAGGGATTGTTTAAAATCATTTTCACGATCTTTGAAAAATTGTTCCTTTGTATCAAATATGAATCCATTATAAGGATAACCAATTTCTAATTCATCTAATGACCAATTTGGTGTTTTGTTATATAATTCATTGAAATATAATTCACATTTTTTTTCAATTGAATAATTTATGAAATTTTCTGGATCTGTGGATTTTATTATATTTTCATAACCTTTTGAAATTGGATATTTATTATTTATAAATATAAATTTTGAATTTGATGATGAATCTGGATTGGAAACTTCATTAAAATCTTTAAAATCTTGATCATAAAGATCATAAGGTTTGATATCTAAATCTGATTTCTGATCTTTAGATTGTTCTTGCTTTAAAGGGGTATATGAATATGAATCAATTTTATTATAAGGAATTAACCAAATCCCAAATATAAATCCTAAACTTAATAAAATTGTTAAGAATCTTAATTTTAAAATTTGATAAATTTTAAATCTTGATAATGAATTATTTAAATGATTTAAATGGATCTTGGTTTTTTGTAAATAAGAATTCATAATTGAAATGACCTGCTATGAATATGATATGCTATGATGAATATGCTATGGAATGCTATGGTAATAATATGGATATGTCAAATATGTATAAAGTGTTAAAATAAAGGAATGGATGAGAATTCAAAAAACCACACAAACTTGTAATAATCAACAATGTAGTAATGATATGAACCTCTATAAATTTGAATAATTTCAAAGTATTCTCAAAGTATTATCAACACCTTTTCAAAAGAATGTATAATTGAGATCTAATACCAAATGAGCAACACGTAAACTACCACCAATTATCAACTCAACAATCAGATCCTAGTAATGTATTCTCCTAATTCTTAACCTATGATGAGAAACCTGGTAATACCTAATAACTAATATCTGAACCTGATCTTTAGTATACCTTTCACCAACAATGTTTTGAAATGTTTTGATTTTAATTTTTCCGTGTTTATTTTTTTTTTATTTTTTATTTTGGTGGTATTCAAAAAATTATGGCAATGTTGAAAAAAATGAAGATCAAAAATGAAAAATTTGTATCATCAACTACACAAAAAATGGAAATAATTTGATCAAGAAAGAAGGAATTATAATTACTTGAATTCAAAAGATCATAATAAGGGTTTGAAAGAAATATTTTAAACAATAATTTGCATATTTATGATCTTTATCTTTTTTTTCAGATTGTAAGGGTTTTTTTTCATTCTTTTCTATTACATTGTAACATTCCGATTATATAAGATGATAAGATGATAAGCTATAAATTACACCAAAAAAGATCATATAGATGTTGTATATTATTATTAAATTATTAAATTAGCTATTAAAATTATAAATCAATTATTTATCAATTATTTGCAGTTGCAATAAAATATTTAGATTCTTTACAATCCTTTGGAGTCTCTTTCAAAACATCTTCAATATTCCATCTTGGTGGTGAACCATCTAAAGAACCACCAGCAATACCAGAACTAAATTTTAAAAATAATTTATCACCCACCTCGGATAAATGACGTAAAAGATAATCAATATCTTCTTTTGTTAAAGATGCAGAAACACAAAGACGAACTCTTGATGAAGTCAGTGGAGTTGCCGGGTATCCAACAACAACAACTGCAATTTTTCTTTGATATAGCATACGTGAAAATGCTGGCATTTTGGCTGGGGCGAATAATAATAATGGAATCACTGGTGAATCATCAACTCCGTATACGATAAAACCTAATCTTTGTAAACCTAATCTTAAATAACGTGAATTAAAAGCAATTCTTTCTAATCTTTCCGAACCTTCACCAGGATTTAAATCACCCGAGATGATATTTAACGAAGAAATAATTTGTGCCAAAACAGGTGCAGGGATAGATTCTGCATAATTTTGTGAATTAATATTTAATTTTAAACGATTTATAATTTGTTGTGAACCAGCAATATAACCACCTGCAGCACCAAATGATTTAGTTAAAGTCCCCATTAATAAATCAACATTTGAGGGATCTATACCAAAATAATCACAAACACCACGACCTGATGGACCAATAGCACCAATTGAATGAGCTTCATCAACAAATAAATTAAATTTATATTTTCTTCTTAATTCAATTAATGCAGGTAAATTTGCCATTGTACCCTCCATTGAATAAAGCCCTTCAACTGCAACAATGATTTTTTTCCATGGACGATGAGATCTTGGTTGACCTTGAGAAATTTGTTCTCTAAGAATTTTTTCCAAGGCAATCATATTATTATGAGGGAAAGTTTTAACTGTAGAACCAGATAATCTAACACCAGTTCTAATTGAAGCATGATTTAATTCATCAGAAATAACAAGTGATTTCTTATCCAATAAAGAACTAAATAAACTTGCATTTGTTGCATACCCCATTGAAAATAAGATTGAATCATCTTTACCAATAAATTTTGCTATAGTTTTTTCAGTTTTTAAATGTAAATCAGTAGTACCAATAACATTTCTTGGACCACCAGAACCAACACCATAATAATCCAAAATTTCTAAAGCGGCTTGAGTACATGCCCCTTCAGATTGTGCAAACCCCAAATAATTATATGATGATAAATTTAAACAAGTTGAAGTAGTACCAGGATAACTAAAATATGAATTATAATCATGAGCATCACGATCAATACAAGTGATTAATCTACCTGGGACACCACAAGTTGGTCTTGCAAAACAATCATCAATTTTTTGTTTCATACGACGAATATAAAAACTTTCAAATTTATTATACCATGGAGCAAGGCCATTTTGTTCTAATAAATCTTGGTAATTTTTTGGGTTGAACAGAATACCTGTGAAATCTTTAATATGACCAACGATAATCAAGATTAAATAGTTTAAATAAGTGATGAAAAGGACATGATATGGTGGTTCATCTTCAATTGGATCAGGTAATGGTTTCCCCTGTCTTGAAATTGTTTTGTAACGATATTCATTTGAAGTTAGAGCACCGAATTCATTTTGTTTCTTGTCTTCGATGGAAAGACCTGATAGATCTATTTGAGGTATTACCAATGACATGTTGGTATAGTTCTATTGGTATTGGTATTGGTATTGGTTGGTTGGTTGTCTGTTTTCTGGATATTTGATTGTTTTTATAGTTTTGTTTGTTTGTTTAAATTTGAAATTCACTTGTTCTTGTTTGAATTCGCGTTTGAGAAGAATTGAACGAAGCAAGGATTAATAAGTGGTTGGTAATTGAATGATAAGATGATTATATTATTATTTATATTGTTCTTTTATTGTTCTTTTATTATATTATTATTATTTTATTCTCATTCAATTCAATTCTTTGTTGATCATATTCTTCATTATTCTTTTATTCTTCTCATTATACCCCTATTATAAATTCTCCTATTAAGTATTACATAACACATAACATAAGCAGACACGTAAACAAATAAATATCAATAAACAA